TACACATCGTGTGGTAGAACAGTAATATCTACAGAAACGTCATCAAGTCTCAATACAAACTATGTGATGTGGTAGAACAACAATGCCTACAGAAACGTCATCAAGTCTCAATACACATCGTGTGGTAGAACAGTAATATCTACAGAAACGTCATCAAGTCTCAATACAAACTATGTGATGTGGTAGAACAACAATGCCTACAGAAACGTCATCAAGTCTCAATACACATCGTGTGGTAGAACAATAATGTCTACAGAAACGTCATCAAGTCTCAATACATATTGTGTGATGTGGTAGAACAATAATGTCTACAGAAACGCCATCAAGTCTCAATACATATTGTGTGATGTGGTAGAACAACAATGTCTACAGAAACGTCATCAAGTCTCAATACACATCGTGTGATAGAACAGTAATGTCTACAGAAACGTCATCAAGTCTCAATACAAACTATGTGATGTGGTAGAACAACAATGCCTACAGAAACGTCATCAAGTCTCAATACATATTGTGTGATGTGGTAGAACAATAATGTCTAAGAAACGTCATCAAGTCTCAATACATATTGTGTGATGTGGTAGAACAATAATGCCTACAGAAACGTCATCAAGTCTCAATACATATTGTGTGATGTGGTAGAACAACAATGTCTACAGAAACGTCATCAAGTCTCAATACACATCGTGTGATGTGGTAGAACAATAATGTCTTAAACTCCCTAATTAATTCCAACCAAAGAATGTTCATTGTTTTAATAAAAGCTTCTTTTCATTTCTGGTGTTGAAACATTGCAGCAGATCAACATTTTGTCTTGCTAAGAATACAAGAAAAATGTAAACCTAAAGGATATTTCAATAATGTTTGAGACTTTTTTGGCAAAGCCACACAAGGGCTATCTACGCGTATCCGTTCCTAATTTTGAACAGATAGATTAGATGAAAGACTGCTACTCAATGGTACCTACCGCCAACCTTTGGGCTACTCTTGTTTGACCGAGTAATGAGATTTTATTGTCACTCTTGCAACACGGTAATGTCTTTGAGTGCGAACCATGAACCACCGGGCAAGCTAATCAGTATAACAGTATACATTTTTGTCTATGTAAATATATCGAATATTTATATAATATACATACATAAAATACGCAAGAAGAAAGTGGGTTTCAGTTGCTGGTATCGAAACTCGATTTTTAGCGTCATAAGTCCTCTTTAACAATAACAACAAAAAACCTTCAACCCTCAAAATATCAATGAGCTTCACATATTACACCGTACTCAATAGGTCTATACTTTTTACCTGTTACAACAATCAACCTAGAGAACCGATCAGAAACAAATTAGTGCAATGATTAGTGGAAGTATTGCAATATTTTTGTGTTATTATAAGACCTTGTGACCAACAATAAAATCTGGATTTACTAACATTATCATGCATGAAGAATGCATAAAAATGTGTTAAAAAAAAGACAATAGGGAGACTCCATCGGTAATTCTATGGTTACCATGTAAGTATCCCACTATAAGTAGACGATGGGGAGAGGGGGGGACACTATCGGTAATTTTGTGGTTACCATATAAGTATCCTGTAGACGTTAGCAGGAATTCCATCGGTAAATGACCCCCCCCCCCAGTGGCACAGCGGTATGTCTGCAGACTTACAACGCTAGAAACCGGGTTTCGATACCCGTGGTGGGCAGAGCACAGATGGACCATTGTGTAACCTTGTGCTTAACTACAAATAAAGAAACATCGGTAAATCTACAATTACCATGCGAGTACCCCATTATAGGTAGACAAAAGGGAGGGGGGGGAAAGACTCCTTCGGTAGTTCTATGGCTATCATATAAACATCTTGTTATAGTTAGAACAAATGTAATTCTTTAAGTACGTTTAATATGAAGATGTGTGAATATTAGAATATTTACTTGTATATGTAAAAGTAAAGATACTGATTGGATAATAGTTACCATATCTCAGTGAATGAGTAAATGAATTCATCTTTGCATGTGTAGTTTGTGATAAAGACTTCTTTTATCAGGCCGTGAAAGTAAGCATGTTAACACAGTGCAAGTGCCATGGAGTTTCTGGGTCGTGCACCATGAAGACTTGCTGGAAGACCTTGCCGTCCTTCACCGAGATTGGAAACTTTCTGATGAAGAAATATCACAAAGCTAAGAAAGTTGTAGCTTTCTGGGATAAACTCTCGTCTTCCAAACAACCACTACGTCTCCATCAACGATCGAAGCGTCGCCATCGGAAACCGCAGTCTAAAGATTTAGTGTATCTTCAAAGGTCACCCAATTACTGCGAAATGGATTTATCGCGTGGTTCTTTTGGAACTATAGGGCGGCGCTGCAATCAAACATCTAACGACATTGATGGCTGCAACTTGCTATGCTGTGGTCGAGGCTATAATACTCACCAGTTTACACGGACCTGGCAATGTAACTGTAAGTTTCATTGGTGCTGTTTTGTCCACTGTAACACTTGCAGTGAAAGAACAGAAATCTACACGTGCAAGTAGAGGCTAATAAAAGTGACCAATAGGAACCGTCCAGACTGCTTTAAAAAGAAATGTTTTATGAAATGTAAATATTTAATAGTTCCCAAGTTTTCACCAGTGGTAAAAACATTATTCCAAAGGAGTGATAAGGCCGTTTCGCTTAACAAAAAGCGCTTCCATTAAGATATTTATGATGCACTGATGTTCAAATTGTGATGTAATAATAATATATATATGTAGATGTCTATTTAAATGCGGTATTGTTTAATATTATTTTTCGATTCTACATAGTGTATTGCTTATAAAGGAAGCTGACTATACAGTCAGTTACTATATCATAGAGCTTAATGAGCTTGTAATTTTGAATATGAAAGTGAAACAAAATTGATGTCACTTCCAAGTGTTTTTAATAGCTTTGTTGGAAATTCTCTACTAAGGCCAAAGATACAAATTAGCATTTTTTTCTTATTCGACGACTGAGTATGAAATACAGTCAGAGCTACAATAAAAAAAAAAAGACCATCTTATTCGTTGCATGTTTTCTTGTAGATGTAAGTCTTCTACTCGTTGTCACAAGTTCTAAACTAATGTTCCTATTCGTGGTTGTTACTTAAATACACAGTTTCTGATCCTTTTTCTGTGATTCTTCGAATATGTACATTTACAGGAACGGGTGGTCCGGCATGGCTAGGTGGTTAGGGCACTGGACTCGCAATCTGCGGGTTCGAATCCACGTCACACCGAAACATGCTCACCCGGTGTCCGAACTAGGATGCCAATTTGGAGGTGTGAGAAACACCATACGAAACAAAAACAAATCAGTAACTGGTCATCATTAACAGATGGAGGGTTTTTTTGCAAATTCGATGTACATATATTTTATAAACATTGGTTTAAAGCTTTCATATTTAAGATTGTACTGTGTGAATTTTGCAAAGCACTTAAGAATTGTATCGTTTAAACACAAATATATATATCATAAAATACTTATTTCCAGACATTTATCGATATTTCTATTGCGTTAAAAAATTTTTAACCAGAAAAAACCTATTGAATATTGTTTTACATTAAAGTGAATGTTCAGTTTTTTTAAAATACTTTCAACGTGAAACTTAACGCGGTTATTAATGTTCCATTAAACCTGAATGAAAAGTTATAAATGAACAAAGAAAACAGTGTCTTTGTGCAGGAATGTTTTTCGTCTAGCAGGTGTGTTAGATATCAAGTTAAAATAAAGGCAAGGAACACTGGATTTGTGAAGCTTCAACACAAAGAAAAAACAAGAGTGGCTAAGAGTACTAATGGAGACCGACTTCATGCTAAGCTTCTTATCTTTTTCTAAAGACAGAATCAACGTGACTTGAATAGATCAAGACAAAAAAAACAGCAACACTGCTTCAGAATACACTTTCAATTTCATTGTTTAATAATCAATATTCTACCAAACTTAACGTTTCGGTTTACCTATTAGCTCATTTATAATATGGGGAATGTTGCGTTGTGAATGGTCTGGTAACCAAAGGGGAGAGGGGACATACAGGCCCCAATATGATACTTTTTTGGATTAAACGCAAAACATGTTTATATTTTACCCGCTCTCTGTTTGAATTTCGAAAATTAAAAAAATAAAATATTCAGCATATCTCACAAAAAGTTTAGTGGATGTTGCCACTCCCACTATTGAAATATGAAATGGCGCTCCTGGTTACTTTCCGTCTCATTCAACGTTAATTGGCAGCTCAGTACCATTCGTTTATTTCTTTTTGCAATAAGTAGTTTGATTGATAACCAGAAAGCAGGTGAAAGTGGTCCGCTAAGCGTAAGATAGGCTTTGTCCTTGAAATTACCTAGAGGTCGATTATTTTAAGATGAAAAAAGTTCAATAAAAAAAATAATCAGTTTGAGCAAAATATCTTTCTCATAATTCTTGGTCGCTTTAAATTGGAATGTCATCAATTTTTGGGTTAATAGGTTCAAAAGTTGAAGAGGCCATGAGTATCGCTTGAAGGAGTGGAGAATATCAAGTGTGAGGCAACAACTTAAGGAATGTTACCCGATTTTCAGCAACCTCACGCTGAGATAAACATTATTTCTAACTCGTGTAATGAACATGTTTATAAGTCATTTTGACCAGACGGCAAAAATGAAATAGTAATTTTAATACAATATTTTAAAAATAAGTTTATCAAAATTTAAAAAGGACACTATTCTGAACAATCGAATGTTGACGAAACAATAAAGTGCCATCTAGTGTGTTAATACTGAAACTTCAAAATAAGAAAAAGATAAGAACATTGCACATTGATAATACCGATTCCTTGATGGTTTATTTTCTTGATTCGAAGGGTATTTTCTAAAAGAAGATTAAAAAATATGTCGTCGTAAGAGACATCTAACATCTCGTAACATTGATAACCTTTAAGCTATTTCATGTCACTGTTGTCAAGAGTAGTTTTATGCCCGAGTAATTCAGAAAACGTCAGCTCAAGATAACATCATTGTCATGCATGGTCCAACCGTCGCCCACCATACCCTCACTATGATTTTTCCAACGCTACGATGTGGTCGTATAGAGGCATACAAAAGAAGCCACTTGTGTATAGCAGTATTCTTTACTTTATATGGTTATTAAAAAGGTAAGTTTAATAGCGTTCTGCATGTTATCAATAACCTAAATCAAAACAAACGTAAAGGAAACTGTCCACACTTACAAGTTAATCAAATGATTGTCATACGAAGAAAACGTAAAATAATTTATCTACCTTTACATAGAAGTTTACCTCATTTGATTGTCAAAGATATTTGACTCTCCATCATAAAACATGAAGTACCCGAGTTCACGAATGGAAACAGGTTTTACCTACACAATCCAGAAACTGGCTTATAAATCGGATTTGTCTTACCCCCCCCCCTAATAATTTGCGTAGATAATAAAATTGTAACATAACTCACGTTAATCTAAAGTATTTTCTGATATAGCAGATAATTACGAGCCGGTTATACCTGCCAGCTATGTCGACATATCGGATTTTGCTTGCTCTTTTTTATATATATATAAAAACCTTTTAAATACGTCGATATTTACAGCGTTACTTCATTAGGGATGTGGGAATGAATGTCGTATATTTCTAAGTATATAAGTAATCAAAACAGAATCAAAGCTAAATTTGAATAATCAGCAGAGATATTACACGATCAAAATTTTTTCTTCTCTCTCTCGCTTTCGCCGAGAAAAGTATTTTGTTGTGAACATTCAGGTAATCCAGTTTAAAATTAAAAGCTTATTACGAAAGTTGTTATTAATTATGATAAACAAGTAAGTGCACAATAAACAAGATTCGAGCAAAGTTTACAAGAAATAGCACGTATCTATAAACCAAACAAGTAAGTACACAGAATCCAGACAAAGCATAAATACAAGAAATGAAACATATAAATAAGCTAAACAAGCAAGTATACAGTATCCAGACAAAACATAAATACAAGAAATGAAACATATAAATAAGCTAAACAAGCAGGTATATAGTATACAGTATCCAGACAAAGCATAAATACAAAACATATAAATAAGCTAAACAAGCAGGTATATAGTATACAGTATCCAGACAAAGCATAAATACAAGAAATGAAACATATAAATAAGCTAAACAAGCAAGTATACAGTATCCAGACAAAATATAAATACAAGAAATGGCACGTATAAATAAGCTTAACAAGCAGGTATATAGTATACAGTATCCAGACAAAGCATAAATACAAGAAATGGAACGTATAAATGAGCTAAACAAGCAGGTATATAGTATACAGTATCCAGACAAAACATAAATACAAGAAATGGAACATATAAATAAGCTTAACAAGCAGGTATATAGTATACAGTATCCAGACAAAGCATAAATACAAGAAATGAAACATATAAATAAGCTAAACAAGCAGGTATATAGTATACAGTATCCAGACAAAACATAAATACAAGAAATGAAACGTATAAATGAGCTAAACAAGCAGGTATATAGTATACAGAATCCAGACAAAGCATAAATACAAGAAATGGAACGTATAAATAAGCTTAACAAGCAGGTATATAGTATACAGTATCCAGACAAAACATAAATACAAGAAATGGAACGTATAAATAAGCTTAACAAGCAGGTATAGAATACACAAGATCCAGGCAAAAAAAAAAATACAAGAAATGTCACGTATTTAAAAGCTAAACAAGCAAATATACAATACAGAGGATTCAGCCAAAATAATAATAATAATAACAAAAATGACACGTATGTACAAGCTAAATTAGCACGTATACAGTATACAAGATCTAGGCAAAAAAAAAAAAGAAATGGCCGGTACCTATAACCTAAAACTAATATACAGTACACAAGATTCAAGCAGAGAAAAAACAACAACAACAAGAAATCTATAAGCTAATCAAGCAGGTATATGGTACATAAAGTCCAGGTAAAAAATAAATGCAAGAAATGCACATATCTATAAGCTACTCAAGCAGATATATAGCAAATAAGACCCGAGCAAAACATTAATAATTATTAACGTATTTGCCACGAACACAAAGTTTATTAGTAAATCAAATGCTTTTGAAAACAGAACATATAAGAATAGAGGCTGAACCTCTTGGTGGGTGAGCAGAAAGTCGGGGGAGGGGGGCGTATAACGCTAAAAATCTGGTCTCAATACCCACGGTAGGCACTACATAGGTAGCCCATTTTTGTGACGTTGTTCTAGGCAACAAATAAACGAAGCCTAAATATAAAACATATATGACGCGGGCCATAGCGAACGCCCAAAAAAGTTTAATTATTTGTTGTTAAGAGCAAAGCTAAACTAAGGGATGTCTTTGCTCTACCCGTAGCAGGTATCGAAACCAGATTTTTAGTGTCATAAGCCCACAGACTTTCCGCTGAGTCACCGTGAGGCTCTCATGAAAAAAAAACAACTTAACTACAACTTTATTACACTCGTTTATTACATTTCGTTACCTATAGATTCGGTCTACCATTACAAATGTTTAAAATGCCCACTACCGTTATAATTGCACGTACAGCATCTTGTTTAAAGATTTCCACTTGGAATTACTATATTTATTATCTACGTGTCTATAATAGCCCTCTCTGTAACAATATTCATGTTGCGTCAACGAATGTCATAAGAGAATGTTATTAATTTATTTATGTTT